TATCAAACAATCAAATGGGATTATTTTAATCTGCATGATGGATTCTCTGGAGATTTTGATTAAGACAATCAAAATATCACTCAAATAATTTATAAATAGTCCCCCATTTTACATAAAAAGAGTGGGTCTAGATTTTTAGAAAGTTCAATATATTAAAGAATTTTACAGCTCTATCAGACGATTGATGCCAATGATCTTTATCGTCGGCACCAACCTAAATATCTATCAACACCGACTTATATATGTACTCTCTCCCCATTGCTCTCTCAATCGCATATAGTAGAAATCTCAACAATGAAGGACGACATCTAACTTACAATGAAAGACAAGCCAAGAAGTCAAAAATGATGGGACGGGATGCAACAATGGCATGATTTTCATTCTTCCATCCTAATTATTGTCCAGTAGGGTATCAATCTTAATCTAGGCTCAACTGTCAATTAATTGGTATCAATCAATCTCAATTGTTGCCCAGTTGGGTATCAGTTTTAATTAGGTCTAATTGTCAACTAATTGATATCAATCAATTCCAATTGTCGCCCACTTGGATATCAATCTTTCAATCTCAATTGTTGTCCAATTGATATCAGTCTTAATTAGACTCAACTGCTAACTAATTGGTACCGATAAACCCCAATTGTCGCCCAATTGTGTATCACTATTAAGTAGATCCAAATGTCTTCTAGTGTATATCAATCTTTATCTTCCACATTAACAAACCTTTAATCTAGCCTCCCTTACATGCAAATGTTATTTTTTTGTCAATATCGTGTATTAAATGCGACTATTCATAAGATGCATGAAAATCTATCAAATTTAACTACTATGCATTTACTTCAAAAAAATCATATCATTTGGACTTTGGATTTAGTCGAATTTGATTTCGTTGAGTTCGTATTTTCGAGACGCTCCTCAGTTTGACTGTAAGTTCGCTGAAATCGGAGATCAGGTGATTCCGGGTTTAATTTTTGAAGTTTCCGGTTTGATTTTGCCTCGAGATTCGTGACCAATCAAGATAAATTTTTGATGATATATCAATCACGATTTATTATTCTGTGCTATAAAAATATATCATCTCATCCCATTGTTAAGTATCCAGCTAAGTACCCACACTCAGTACTCCTTATATCCAACACTTAACCGGACCATTCTCCCATCTAATATCCGTACAGAATAATAGCCCGTAACAGCACAAAATAATTTTACTCGTAGCTCAACCAAAATTTCTTCCCTTAAAAAATACTCAATTCCTTATACCTTCGCGGCCAGATCGTGCGCGCCCCGTTCTACTCCACTCCCGTCTGTCTCAGTTACAGCCGAAGGACTTTCCTTTTTCAGGCTTCATTCCGCGGCAGCGAGATTTTTTGGCTCCACGCGCTCTCTCTCTCGGCTCTGTGTTTGATCGCCGGTGCTGTGACTGGCAGAAATGGCAGCCAGTGGCGATAAGATTGACTACGTTTTTAAGGTGGTGCTGATCGGTGACTCGGCGGTGGGGAAGTCTCAGATCTTAGCGCGGTTTGCCCGAAACGAGTTCAGCCTCGACTCGAAGGCCACCATCGGGGTCGAGTTCCAGACGCGGACCCTTGTCATTCAGCACAAGAGCGTCAAGGCTCAGATCTGGGATACAGCCGGTCAGGAAAGGTATTCCTCATCCTCGATCTCACACAGAGCTCTGAAAACCCTACTAGTTCCTTTAGATCTGGTATCTGGTAATAAAGTATGGCGGTCTGTTGTGGTTCTTGGCGCATCTTAATATTTCCAATTTTCCATACTGCATCAATGCTGCGTGTGACCACTCGGTGAACTTGTTGAACTCATTGACATGAGTTTGATTTTTTAATGAGCTGCAAGGCGATCCTAAACGTTCATATAGGTGCATTATTGCATTTCCTTTATTTTGGGAATAGCCCTAGGTTTTTATGGAGCGATTGGATTTAGTCAACAAATTTTCTATTCAGGTGGGTGAGTTATAATGGCTTATAGAGGAGTTGGTTGATGATTTATTTGTGTCTTACTCATCTTTCATTAATAATGTTCCATATCTTGCCTAGTGTTGACAGCAGAGTTAGTACATAAGCTTAATACCTCCATGCTCACCAGTTACATAAATATTGTCACCTCGTGTAATATTAGTGTTTTTTCTTCTTCAATTTTGATTATAAACAATAGGTTACCCGTGTTTAATTTTGTTTGAAACCCTGTAAATCAATGAGAATTAATATTAGATTGGAAACATGCATGATTTGTATGTTTTGACTAGTGAAAGACTAAAGATGATGTTGAGCAGGTTAATCTTGAACTTCATTAAAATATTGGAGTTTTGATATTCCAAGTTGCATGATTGATGATGAACTTATAAGTCTTCAAAGAAAAGATGTTTTACACCCATATTAGCATGATTCTAATGTGCCAAGTTAGCCTGAATCGAGTTGAACCAAATTATAACCATATCATTTTGGTCGAGATAATTGCCTCAGTTTAGACTGCTTGGAAGTCGCAAGTTGCCAACAACAAGTTGTTCGTAGAAGACCCATGATTCGATGAAATCACTTGAACAATGTCTAGGAACCCAAAGAGGCTCTCAGCCTCTCATTCAAATTAAACAAGTCATTTAAGCAAAATTCATCTTTAATAGCACTTAGCCTATGGTACTCAACAGTCACACCTGGCCTACTAATGTATAGAATCCATATCCAACTAGAGAAATGAGGCGATCATCTGAGTAGTCATATCAATCCAATATTCTTAACTCGATGATTGATCGACCAATATAATTCACCCTAAGTACCCACCATACTCATCAAAGAGAAGCTTGATTTCATGACAGCTACACTAGCAACTATAGTAAATGTCTAAGTATTGTTTAACCCATCCTTTATTTTTCACTCTTGTCGATAAATTAGCTCAAGTGTTATGTGATCCAGGAGATTTTGCCTTTGAATTGCCTACTCCCATTGTTCAGTTCACCCTTTTAGGGAGGGTCCAACTTTGTATTTTGTTCACTATTCACTAGAGAGAAGTGGAGAGGCTTAACTCATCTTCTTTTCCTTCTCTCTAGCTCTATTGCCTTGTTGTCCCTATTAAAGTTTAGCTAATTTCTGTAAAAAGGGGATCCAACAAATGCATTATCCATTTATTGTATGTGTGTGTGTGTATATATATATGTGTGTGTATGTATGGCATCCAACTCATCTAAGGCTTGATGTTGTTGTTGATGTTGTTGTATGTATAAATATATATTTACATGATTCAGCTTTAACCAAGCTTACATTCACAAGCAAATAGAGAATTTGTGCATAACCAAAGAAGCTATAAATAATGTGCACTAGAAAATTGCACTCATCAACCCTTCTCAAAACTCAAGTTCACTCACACAATTTTGAAAGATGATTATCTCAATAATATCTTCTTCTCCTCTTTTTCACCATGAAACCTTGGTCGGGAGTCAGGACAATATGTCATAGATACCAATCCTCTAAGAAAACCCTTAGTTAATAGGCCACATGAAACTAGAATTTTAGGTAAAATCGATGCAAAAATCCTCTGCATGTAGCCGTTAGATACATGATTCTTGAGAACATGTTACATAAATTAGTAGATGTGGCTTAGATCCCATTATATGAATCCCATATGCATGCATTAAAAGGTGGATGTCTGGCTTGAAGCACATGATTCAAGATAAGTTTCTACATTTATCTTAATTGTTGATCTCGAGGTAGAATCTTAACCATCATCAAATATGGATTATTATGGGCATCTCCTTCATAATATATTGTGTCAATAATGTAACACAGCTTTTTCGATACAATACTTTACACACAAAAATGAGTTTTCCAAAATATATATCTAACCTTTAGACTAGAGTTGAATGATCGACCTTTCTTGTTATATCCTTCATTGATATAAGGAACATGATAAAAGATAGCATTTGCTTATTTATCATTGTTTTTGATGAAATTTCTATAATTGTCATGGTGATTACTGAAATTATAAACTGGAAAAAGGAATTACATGGTGATTGCTTATTTGCTTATTTGTCACTTGGAGAAACTATTGATGGACCCTTGTTAAGGATCTCCAAAGTTTGATCTTTTCTTTCTTCTTCTGTCAAATTGTTTAGGAAGTGATTTTGTTTTTTTTGAATTCATTCGGTAATTGATAAACTATGAGTTCAAACAAATTCAATGAAATTTTATAATTTTTTAATATAAAATTTGCAATTTAAGATTCAAAAGTTAGTTATTTTGTTGGAAGTTGGTCGTAAAAAATTAATTGATCATAAGGATAAATTCATTTGATCAATCCTTCGCCACGTAAGGCCAGGTCCAAGAGGTGCCATGCAATCCACATTTCAAAGGTGTTTTCAGGCATGTACTTCACGTCCTAGAGGTAATTCCAAGTCCAAATAAAAATTCATATGAAGAGGTTCCCTAATGCAAATACCTTTTTTCCCAACCGCCAGCCTCCATTTTTTGAAAATTTGTCTTGTGTTTCTACGCATATGATGGAAATAAATGAAATGAAAGCTTTTGATTGTATTTGTGTTATTTTGGTCTTTTCTTTTCTCCACTTGGTGGTGGGCCACTTATATGGAGGTTTCGAGGCCGACATGACTTGATTATATGCTTTTATTGATGAGACATCATATAATGAAAAGAATTATTTTTGTATCATGTATCTAAGTTGATCTTTTTACATTGAAATAGCGGATGGTGTCCTCTACCACCATCAATATGGTGGCTTAATGGTCTTAATTGCCACAATCCATCTTTCACATTCATCTCCACTTTGTTTTTACTGTTTCTCCTTCTACTTTCCAAACCACCAGAAAATCTAGAAGTTTTAAATCATAAGCCATTCTCTGAGCAATGGTTTCATCTCAACCTAAAATCACTAAGTTACTGTTCTTCCAATTTGTTTACCTCCATATTAAACCTTAGTAATGTTATTTAGTTCTATAAGTCTCCACACTTCACTCCGCATATCACCAAGATCTATGCGTCCAACCCGTCAGTTACACCCATTCTTATCCATATTAGTGCCATTATCTCTACAATTTTTATTAGAAGTATAGATCAATATCAAGATCAATGAATAAAAAAAAAATACAATCTTGATGTTTCTACAACGATTAATATAAATGCAAATTAAACTAAATCAATCTGTTATGAGCCTGGAAAACTTCAACACAACTATTATTTGAAGGATAATATTCCTGGGTTTGATAAGAGGCTTAATATTGAGGTGCTTTGAAATTGGATAAATGTGTTGAGAGTTTTCTTGAAAGATATAATGTTTTATTTCAAAAAGATTGAGTTCGCTAAAGCAAAATCAATGGGATTTGCTTAATCATTTTGTTAAGGTATTGCTGATAAAGTAAAGTCGACCTGTCCTTACATGAAATATAAATGTAACTTTATATTTTCATTCATAGATTAAAGAGATTAATTATATGATAAATTTAAGGACTTAACACATAACATTCATAATGTGTTTGAATGTTTTATTTTGTTTGAAAATATGTCACCAAACTACATTTTACTAATATAATTTTGTTATTTCATTAAATGTTTTAGACTAGAAATAAAGCATAAATTATGCTATGATTTTAAAGAAATCAATGAGATTTAATGTTATGGTTTAGAGCTTTAATTTTTTTTTTGGTTGGCCACCTATTATGGCAAGTGGCAACACCATCTCTACTATCTTTTTCTAAGGAAAACATCTTCTACATCCCATCAACAATATGCTAAATAAACACTAATATTCCCTAAGATCAAATGTGAGCTCATTAAAGATGTAGTTTATAAAATCTACAAACCTCCATCTAATTTTGATTCAAATTTAGAAAGTAATCGTCAAATGGAGAATAAATTTATAACTAACATAGAGTTTAAATCTAAATTTGAAGTTTAAACTTGTTGTAAGATTTACTTCATAACCTATCTTAGAATATGGCAAAAAACCTATTTATGCACTTGAACAAGTGAATATAAAATTTAACAAGAGTTTAAACCTTGATCTTGAACAAGTGAATCTAAAATTTAACAAGAGTTTAAACCTTGATCTAAGATTGAATGGAGATGTTATCTGAACTTGAACTAGAATCTGAGTCCATACTTGTTGAAGTTTTTAAATCAATTGAAAAAATTGATAATATAACTCGAGTGATTATCTGTTGATATTATCCTTACGTTGAGAAATAAAAAATTATATCAATTTTACTATTTTGATTCTTAGCTTGTTTAATTTGTAAATTTGTAAAAAAAGTGCATTGAAAAAGGCAAATTGTCTCAATACATCCTGGGAACTTTTATGATATCTTCCTTCATGTAAACTTAGTAGATAGAACTCTATATATCAAGTTGATTTCAAAAAAAAAAAAAAAAGTTGATTTCAAAATTACATAATTCATTAAGGTAGTTGCAAGATTGTGAAAATAGGACTGGATAACGAATCAGAAGGAGAGGTTCACGGTTCGATGATTCAACCGGGTTCAAATCAAATGGCTTAATAAATATTAATTTTATTTTAATATAATAAAATAATAATAATAATGTTGGCTATCATAAGATTCATAACTATCAATTTTCAATTCTTCTCCAAACAAATCATCATAATATATCAGTGTATAAACATGA